CAAATTTTAGGAGTGCATGATCTTTATAAACCGTTGCTTTGCAACAACAGTGTTAATTAAATCTAACATTTTTAACAGTGAAGTAATAAAATAATAACAACATTGTGAAACTTGGGTGAAGCAAACATGGCAGGAATTGACAACAGTGAGCTGCCTAGTGTAAGTGCTTTTTAATTAAGATCTGACCAAACTTCACTCAAGGGCTTAGATTTGTTTTAAATATGTTTTTAGAATTAGGCTCTTCAATTTGCCCAGCCAACATTTTTTCTAAGAATGTGGGCCAATAATTTGGAAAATACTTTGGGGCAATCTCTTAAATCAGTGGGTTTCTTAACCAGTCTTAACTGCTCACAATGAGAATTTTGTTAGATGAATTTATTCTCTGTTTCTGCTTGCAGGGAGGCATGATCATACTGCAATTACTGGGAACACGTTAACCAATGATCCCAAGCGAGCAACCCCCACACACACATATGCCACAAAGTACCCTTCCACATGCAAAACCACATGGACACTTTGATTTAATACACTACACAGCCCCAATGCACAAAAGCAAAGGTTGTGAGGAAGAGGTCTCCCTTGCTGAAGGACCACCCCACCTTTCGGAAGGATGGTTATCCATCTGAATGGAGCTGGTCCCAGAGCTTTACCTGATTGTCCCGGCAGATAAATGGCCGTAGGAGCCACTCGCTGCTGAACTGCTTCTGGAGTTGTTGATATATGCCACAAGAGAGTTTGGGGAGGTCCTGATCATCGTCTGGAGATCAATGCTGGCATCAGACAGTGGGGAAATAGACAGGGCTCGTTTTCGGCTTAATCTTGGAGTCACCCGTGGGCTGGAAAATCGGGACACTGTAGGAAATGGAGACTTTGTCAGAAAAAAGCATCAGGCTGCTCCCTTCTTACAGGGGGGTGGGAGGTGCTGAGACCCGCTGCACTTGTGACTGCTGTGGGATGTTCAGGAGCCACCAGCAGCGCAGGAACGAACTGCACTTTGATGAGAAGTTTCCTCTCTGCTGGGCGCTGAACAACAAGAGGTCAGGCAGCACCATGAACGCCTGCTTGCTTCAGTCTCCTTGAGGGATAAACAGAAGCCTGTCCATCACCCCCTTTCATCGTCACTAAATTAACTTAAAATTAAAAGGGAAAAGGTCCCACAAGGTTTCCATGAGTGCAGCCATCCCTGTTGACTCGGTAGCAGGAGCAGTGGGCCAGAAGAGCCGCATGTCAGAGCTGAGGCGACCCTTGGAAATGGTGTATGTGCTTGTGTGTGGAGGGAGCGGAAACCGAATGAACACAAGCACAATGCTGAACACCCAATTAATGAAGGAGGCGAGGCTCCAGGAGCCCCTAAAGTAAATGAAGAGTTTTAAGAAAACCAATTTGGCAGCTCAGGCACAAAGTTCAAGCTCTCCCCCTCCAAGGGGACCTGCCAGTGCCTGGACCCTATTAGCAATTGTCAATCATTCGGGCATGAAGTCATTTCCAACCCTGTGCCGTGGCGAGTAACTACTGTACAAATTTGGCCTCCCCTTCATTTTGGCACTGCTAACTGGAACAAATGACTTCATCCAGAGGAATGCCCAGGCCTGACCCACCTGCAAATCTCTGGGGTGGCATGGACAGGAGGTGGGGATGGGTCATATCACAACGTTCCCTGATACCGGGGTACCAGATCCAAAGCCTGCCTGAGCCCTAGCCCTGTTTGGAATGGCTCATCCCTCCACAGCAATGAAATTAGTATTTAGGTTGTCTATTTTTTAAAAAAAAAAACATTTTTAAGGGTAACATACACCACTCAGCCATGGGGCCGGCTGGTAATCCCCATCAGCCACTCTGGGGTGCAGGAGGGCTCAGTTGCTCCAGCTCTCTTCCTTGATGAGCACAGCACTGTGTTACTACCTGTCTTTTCCAGCAGCGGTCCCTGCAGAAAGCTTGCTGTGAGTATATCCTATTAAATACGGCGAATAAAACAGTACCTTGCCCAGACAGGCAGTATGAACTATTTTCCTCTAGTTGGCTGGAGGGACTGATTTTGGTTGTGTATCACCAAATACAAGCCTGGTACTTTGCAAGAGCATAAACTTTCCATCCTGATGACAGTGTTGGTATGTGAGAGGGTGAATGGGATATACAAGGAGGTAAAATATACCCTGCCAGTGTGACCAAATAGTTCCTTGATTTGTGTTGGCTTGCAGAAGTTTGTGTCAACATTTCCCTGAGACCAGTGGCTGAGTTGCAGTCTCCCAATCTCCACATTACTCACCCGTGTACCTAAGTGGCTCTGACATTACCATGCCTGCGTGCTGTGTAATCGAGCGGGTTTAGTACCACCATCCCTTTATTACCCATAATGCCCCTTGTTGCACAAGATAAGTGACTTGCCCAAGGTCCCACTGGAAGCCCAAGGCTAAGTTGGTACTTGAACCATGCACTCTTTTGACTTCTGTCCTACACCTAGTAAACTTCAAGAGTTGCTAGCTGCAATGCCTTTACTACAATACTGCAATATTGGGATTTTCTCCTAGAAATGAGAATGTTACATATATACTGAATATGTTCTTTTTACAGTATTTTGAAAAGCTACGTTTTGCAGCCTCATGGGGTGTACAGATGCTAGAAAACACGATTCAAGGATCAGGTAGAAAACAGAAAAAGCACACAGTGGTCTATAAAAAAAATCACCTCCTGCGTGTTAAAGCTGTTCCATGACTTGGAAGGACTAGTCTCAAACTTTCCTAATGCTTGTGGCTGGCAGACTCCAGCCCATTCTGCTGTGGTGAGTGGCGCTTCTCCTGGGAGCTGGAAAAGAAGCAGCTGGTTTGTAGAGGCACTATGGACACAAAATGAAAATGAGCAAATGAACTACCCTCAGCAAAGGCTAGTCCTGCTAAAGGCTGGAGTGGAGCATTCCCAAACTTCACACCTGGTTCATGAAATCTGGGCCCCACCAGAGCTCTGGGCCAAGCAACATGAGGGTTGCTTGTGTCTAGATCATAATGGTCAAAACCTTGCTCTGTCTGCAACATACTAATGTATTAATGTAATTGACCTGAACTAATTAAACTTCCTTTCTTCCTCCCCCACCCCAGCCACATCTTGATTCAATACGTGGGCCGCAACCTATAAAAGCCTGGGTGCTGTTCCCAGTCCTACACAGCCATTCCTCCTTGAGCAAGTTGCTACTTCTTTCTCTGTTTCTATTTCCCAGTGTTATCGATTTAGATGAGCTCCTTTAGATAGGGTTTGTGTTTTATTATGTATGTATTGTACCAACTGCAATGGGGCTCCATCTCAGCTGAGTTGTCAGTGTTTCTGTCCTACAAATAATATGCGTCTTTCCAGATATAGATACTGTTTTCTGCATTTGCATTCCCACAGTCTCCTCCTCCTCCAACAGAAGGAAGCAGGCCAGATTTGACAGTCATATTTATCTCTGTTACTCCCACACCTCAAGGGAGATCTGTTTATTAATGTGCCACTTCCCTTGATAAATTACTAAATAGAAAGAAAAGCCTTGTACTCATTTCTTGCTGTTCCTTCCCATGATTTATGTCCACAGTGCTGGTTCAGCCATTGGTTGCCATTAATTTGCAGAGGGAAGAAGTCCTGATGTCCAACAGACACATGGGTTTTAGTAGTGTAACCAAAGTGGGCACCCCTCCCTGCTGCATACAGGTACATCATTTTTTTTCCCCAGGTAAAACTCTGCTGGAAGCTGTCAGATTTGCAAGCTGGCCTGGGAATTCTCCAGCCCAAAACCAGTAATATGTATTGTTAGTGTCTGCTCTAATTTAGATCTTGCAAATACCATGGGCTATCTGAAATGTCTGATAGCAGATCCAACAGGTTGGGCTCTTACTTTACACAAAAGCTTCTTAGGACTTGCAGGCTTTCAGGGAAAACTGTGACCTAAAATTGTGCCATGGATGAACAATTCCTCTCTTCTCAGTGACAGCCTACCCAAGGTGCCTGGGAAAGAAAGTGTCTGAGAAATGGAGAATGAGTTTAACCATGAGAAGAAGTGCTCAGTGATGCATTTAGGAAGAGGGAATCTTCTCAAAATTATTATTCAAAAGCAGATTAGTAGCACGGGGATCATTCTTGATAATAAAATTGGCCTGACCTGATCCCCTAATCTGAGGGCACTGAGCACAAGCATTAAATGATACCAGACAGCAGCAAAGATAAGAATTACTATAGCTGTACACACAGGCAAGGTCTTCAATATGGGCTGACTGAGAGCCACTTGAATACGTAAGCAAAATTCTCTGTTGCCTGAGGTCCAGTGATGTTTCAAAGGAAAAACCATGTACGACTTCTTCAGCAGCGAGTGTGCCCAGAGAAGTAAACAAAGGCAGGATCCATTTTTCAGATGCAGAGACGGAAACCCTCAGGAGGATTTATCACTAGAACTCCCTCTCTCATCTCCCCTTCAAAAATGCTGATTTATCAAAATGAACAGGGTTAGTTTCAAGACTTTTTTTATGTTTGCAAAATATGTTGGGGGAAGTTTCCAAACCGCCAGAGTATCTCCTTCTACACTCTTGAAAGAAAAAGACCTGGTACTTTTGTGTTGTTATTCTAATTCTTTTTTTTCCCCCAGATACCTACAGTCAAATTTTTAAAAGTCACATAAAATAAGGAAATTATTTTCAAATTAGGGAATTATTTTCAAATTAATTCCACTAAGCCACCAGCATTTCAGTTTTTGAAATTGATTTCTCTGTGCCTCTCTACCTCAGATGGAGACTTTTTAACCTTCAATTTCTTCCCCTTGAATAATAGAGAGATGGGAAAACTTCTCACCCAGAAAAAAGTGATGGGGCAAAGCACAATGAAACAAGACAAGTTCAAGAGATACTCTGTATCATTGCCTCCTCTGGTGTGCAGTATTTCCAGCCAAGTACATATACAGCATACCCAGGATGGGTGGTGGCTGTTCCTGCACCAATTTGCTCTGCTACATCTACCTCTCATCGTGAATGAACACTATTAAAGCCAGCAGATGCTTTCTATTGACTTCTGTGTGCTTTGGTACATGGAGTAACTATGAATTTAAAAGCTGACCTAGCAACACCCTTGTTCGAGATATCTCATCTTTACTTTCAAACTAATTCTTTCCCATTTGGAAAAGATGTTAGGTTGATGCACTCAGTTTTTGGACATACTAACAGCTTGGGTTTTATTTATTTGGTGTATATTAAACAAATAAGCTCCAAAAGGAAGAAACATTATTTTCTTTTCATTTTTGCAAAGGCTAAAGATACCTTCTTAGAAATCAAAACTGTTTCAGATTTCAAGCAACAACAAAAATATCCTTTGGGCTGAATTAAGAGTCAGGAAAGTCTAAGGCAAAAGACTGTCTCCTCCTCTCTCAGAGTTAAGAGGAGATTAAAGTGAAGAAATGAACTGGTGAATGGAAAGGTCCAATAAAGGTTGATCTAAAGCTCTGGGCATGGTGATAGTGTTGTGGATGGCAGTCCATGAAGGTAAATAAAAAATTTACCATAAGCCTTTGCCCTCTGCTGCCTCTCCTTACAAAAAGTCAGTTCTGGATACAGTTTACAGTGTTTTTAATGGTTTTGAACCCAAATACATTGACTGTCAGAGGCACAGCTGTACATGCTAGAGAGTAAATATAACCATGTATTTTAAGAAACCTTTTAAAACTTCCTGGAGTAACTTCTCAATAGAAAAAAACTTGACTTTATAGCGGATTATCTTTGCAGGGTAAATGTAAATGCCACAGCTCACAACTGAAAGACATTTCTCTCCTGGGGGAGTAAATATCCCATTTCTATATGAACAAAAATTTAAAGCTGAATTTTCAAGTGACACTGGCCGCATCT